GCTAGCTTTACAGGAGGTAAAACGACGCAAAATTGCAAAAACAAAACAAGTTTTACAACTTTACTGGGACCCAGATAATTCTGCAACCAGGTAGGTAATCTTTAATTTCATACAGAACTTATGAAAATAATTACTAGTTGCGGGGGTCAAATTTTGGGTCAAAAATAGCAATTTTTGGCATTTTTTGGTAATTTTTGATGTGGTAACCAATGTTTTCACACAAGTGACATACATAGAAAAAAGAGGTTTATACACTTCTCAGTACTTTATATGTATTGTAAATGTAATGCAGTTTACAAATATATATACATGTATACATGTGTTGTGTAGGGTAAATCCGCTGTGTTTACATTTCCTCGACATGTGCCTTGTTTATCAGAGTCGGGTCATTTCTACTGTATACTGCTACCCCAACAACTGTACACGGAAACTGCTTACTTGCAAAAACAACGTCGATCAATTTAACCCATGTAATAAGGACATGTATACAATGTATAACTCACGTGTTTCTTGCCTGTGATGTAATAGATGATCAGTTAGTTAGTAGCGCCATTGTTCACGGATAGGTCTATGGTGTCGAGACCGGTATCATAATATATTTAAGCAGGATACGTATCATGGTGCTACAAGGTAGATATTTTGCCGTTATTGAGCTAAAATGTAGTCAAGAAGAATTTTGCTTCTATAAGATAAACCAGTTTTCAGTAGGTAGGTTATGTACAAATATGTAAGGACATAAACATCTGCATACAATATATTTTAAGGATATTGATTCAACAATCTATACATAACAGATGTAAATTTAACAAAGTTTATAGAGCCCTATATAGTTTCATATTGATAAATCTTGAATATATTCTATATAAATATAATTGTATGTATATATTTCTACCACAATACGCTGTGTTATTCCACACACAGATCATTGTATAAACACGCAGACTGTTAGATAAATATGAGTTATATATACCACACGTGGTATATATGACCTGCAAGAGTTTTGATTGGTCAAGAAGTTGAACTTTGACCGGGATGACTTTTTCCACTTGCTTTTTGCCACATGCTGTTTTGTTTACGTCGTCTGCTTTCAACATCCGACAAATGTTGGTGACTTTGTGAGGTTATGCGGAAAATGGGGTTATTAAGGCAATATTAAAAGAAGATGATACTTCAAGATTTGATAGCTAGTTTCAGGCAAAATTGCTACAGACGATCGGTATCGTTTCGACGTCACACCGTCGCGTGTCCAGGTCGTGAAACCAAAACAAATTAAGATCTGTCACAGTGTCGGAAAATATTTCGTTTTCCCAACGTCCCGTTATCGTTATTTGACTATGGCTGAACTTTCACTATAAACGTCATAGATCTAGAACCGTCAAGAAGAAACGTAGGCCTCTGGTTTTGGACATTGACAGCGATAAGTTCGTCACTTGGCGGGAGGCAGACTTCATACGATATGCTTACGCGCATATAGTCAGTGGTTAATTTATATAAATCAATGAAATACGGCTACTTTCAATATTTAAAGTCGTTCATCTATTATATTTTTTCATGAAGTTGTTGCCGAAACATAAATTTTGACAATTATTGAATTTGTAAAAAAGAAGTTGTTTTTGAATATTAATGAGTGACTTTTTACATATGGGTCATATCACTACGCCAGCCTTGTCAACAAATACACGTGTGTATGTTTTTTCCGACTGATCATGAGATTGTGGTAGAAACAGATCACACGACTCATGGTTGTTGAGTATGGTATTTATTTCACTCTCGTTAGTTAATTTTCAAAAGTTACAAAAAGACACTCGCTAAAGCCCGTGTCTTTTGTAACTTTTGAAAATTAACTAACTCGAGTGAAATAAATACCATATTCAACAACCACTCGTTGTGTAACCTCTATTTCTATACATTGTCTACTGATGTAATATTAATATTATAAGAAGAGGTTATAAGGGCTCATACAAGGTCGAAAAGACACGTTAAATATATCGATAGAATCCTGTAAAGCCCTATAGGCATATTCCATATGTCTACAATCTTACATATATTCTGTATTGATAAAATCCTTTAAATATTTACATAATATGCATTGATTAAATCAGATCTTTATTATATTGATTGAAATCTTTAAATAGACTATTTAAAAGTCTGCGTATTTATATTATTTAAATATAATGGTATTTTAATAATATTATATATTTATAAAACTTGTACTCTTTATTGATAAAATCCTATAAATGAAATACATACCCTTACATGACTAGCCAACTGAAGTCCAGTCAAACAGCAAAATAGGAATATTCGTACCGTAATGGATGTATTGATGCCCAGGTCGATTTGCCAACTTATAAGTTTAACTAGTGTCTTTATAGCCTAGCCTATGACCGCTTATCTAACGGAACAGGAATATAGCACTATGTCCTGTTCCTTTTCAGAACAGCATCTGTTCGAGGTTATTCATGTACCTTACATGTATTCCGTCTTTGCTTATTGCAGAGTTATCTTCTCGTGGGAGCAGGTATTGATTGTTACGTCACTTGTTAGTGAGAGTAACGTCATCAATTTTTGAGCAAACGCGTGATTTTCTCACACAAACCAATGACGTAACAATCAATACCTGCTCCCAAGAGAAGATAACTCTGCAATACGCAAAGACGGAATACCTGATGTAAAATATTCATTTCAAATTAATTAATCGAAACAAAAACATTATATGGTCATTTTGTAATATCGAACTCATCAGCTGAACTCAAAGTAAAAAAAAAGAACATTTATGTCCTAAATGGTCCAATATATATCTATAGATATAGCAAAATGTTAGGGTTGGTTTTATATGGTTTAACAACCTAATAATGGCTGAGAACATTAAAAACCGTGTCTCCATGTGCGTCACCCCTACAGGTCGGTGATAGAAAAAAGAATATATCTAATGTAACCAACTTAATGCTGTAGAAAACAACTGATGTTGGAGCCCAACAATGTATGCAAAAATGGTGATTTGCTTTTGTGGCCTTTACTTATAAACATTGACGAAAGCATCTACGATCTCTTTTATCTCTCTCTGTCTCTTCCTCCTACGCCAGTTTAGTTTCCTAGCGCCATACCTCACTTTTAGCCCTAGTGTTGAAGTTCGCCAAGGTTGGGAAGATGATGACTTTGTCTCCCGCCGAGACATACCAAAGTCCTAAAATGGCCGATGTTATTCCAGTATATTGGGTTATCGTAACGACTGTGTCTTCTGCATGGCATATCATGAGGTAGCAATCTAAAGTCATCATCAGATCCACACAAGGAGGTAAATAAATCAACATACATATACCATGATAAACAATTTAGATGATATGTTAGGGTGAGGGTACCCAAAAATGGAACAAAATTGTTATATATGAATCAGCATTTTTATTTCGTAATGTGCATGAATTAAATATGTTATTCCTAATCCAAATGTATATAGCTTCTATCTCTTGAAATATCAAACAAGAATTCCACGGGAGTGGATGTGTCGTCTGCTCAGCGCTTTTAGTAAGAAAAGTGTTTTGGCTTGAGTTATCGCGTAAACAGATATGGCAAAGTCCGGAAAGTTGAAACTCGACAGACAAACTCGTAATATATGTTGAACATTATTGCTTCTAGCATTATCGTAGGCTACGTATTGTACGTGTACTTGTAGTATAGTACAGATTAAGGTCAGCATACTTGTGTACCCTTCTCTGGACAGTGACCAGTTCGAATTGCGCCCAAACTTTTAACCATGGTTATGCATACAGGGTGAGTGTGACGTTTTATGTCTGTACCTGGACAGCGCAAGTACTTATTGTTGCTGAGTTTCAACTTATTTAAACTTAACGATTTTTTAACGTGATGTAACACTGTTCACAATGCTGGAATCCTGACTGTCTAATTACAGTCGGCGAGTTGTAAATTAATTGTTGCTTTCGACATTAAATATTCTATTCTCTCTTTCTGACAAGCTAGGTGTAAATCATTAATATTCAAATGTGCTTTAAGATTTAAAAACAAAACACAAATAAAGAAAGAAAGATAGATAGCCTTTATCAATAAGGTTATATGCGGCTACCGGGCAAAATCACTTGCTGGAAGTCGGTCCGTTTTTATGAGAGAGAAAAATACGTAAGTCTAAATAGTCTATAGTATACCTCATAATATACCACTAAAGAGGTTATTCAATTTTAAAATTAATCGATACTCCTCTAATGTTCATGAATTAAGCATTCGTCCCTCTGTTTCGTTGGTACTTTAGACCATTTGAATTTCCACTTCTTTTTGCCCCTAGCAACACCAAAGAGTACTGGAAGGAAGGGACAGGTAAATGATACAGCCTTAATTAATGTGTAATACCAATTTTGTAAAGATGCAGTCACCTGTGTGTTACTTTCATCTTTAATATCAATAGGTTATTATTATATTATCTATTTTAACAAACTTTCCAGCAAGGAATACACAATCTATTGACATTCAGAAACACACTTTCCACAGGTGAACTACACGGGCTTAACTATCACTGATAAGTCGACATAACGAGATGCTTATTACAATAAGTCGACATAGCGGAGCAGTTGTAGTCCATGGTGACATGATTTTTTTTCGCATTATCTGGTAAACTCCCACATTAATTCTTGACTATGTCAGTAAGTTGACATAGTAAAAGTGACTTCCGCGAAATCTCACTGGTAACTTCGTGCCAACATACCTATGTATAGGGTGATACTGATGGGGTATGTGTGTGTCTTTATCAGGTGTAAAAGTCAGTGCGGACAACGTGTATTTTCGACTATAACTGGACGGGTGTTCAGTCCAGGCTACGTGTACATGTACTTGTAGTATAGTAAAGATTAAGGTCAACATACAATGTACTTGTGTACCCTTCTCCAGACAGTGACCAGTTCGTATTGAACGCGCTTTATATTTAAGTTTAATCAGGAATCAATTCAAATTTCGACCTTCCTTTTAACCCTAGTTATGCATACAGGGTGAGTGTGACGTTTTATGTCTGCACCTGGATATCGCAATTTTTTTGTTGTCGTTGCTGAGTTTCACTTCATTTGAACTTATCGATTTCTTTATATTATGTCATACAGTACACAAATCTGAAATCCTGCTCTAGTGACAGTGGGCGAGCTGAAAGTTGCCATCAGTATATATTTGTTACTTTATGTGTACAGTTTAATTCGTCCGATTATCACGCTTACCTATTCTGTGCATTACTTTACCGACTTTCGGGAGATATAGCAGCAGACATCGTTTGAATTAACTTCCACCATGTCAAAATTCTTAGGAGCATGGGATATGGACGATCTTTGTGAGAAATCGGAAAATTTTCTCAACTTCTGCAAAGCTGTGGGTAAGTAAACCAGCAGGGTTTTTCAAAAAATGATTTCCTAAAAGAAGATTGCTTTGATTTGTAACTGGCGTTACCATGCTATGTTGGGGTAAACAAATGTATGTACCTGGACTAGTGGTGTAGCTGAAATCATAATGTAATTTAAAAAAAGGTTGTTTTTTCATTTTTAGTAATTTTTAGTAATTTTCTTGTGAATTTTGATGAGGTTTAGTTAATGGAACACAGTGATGAAAAGTCACACTGATTTCATTTGTTATCACAACATGTAAAACCAGTAACTACTTCAGTATTGTGCTGAGGTTTAGGAATATCCCTAAGGCCGGTGGGTATCTTAAGATGGCGAGAAAACGGGCGGTCAAATGGATATGCCTAACATCAATATAGATGGTTTTCTGTATTTTTTACTGTTTCAATGTAGATATATTCTGTGCATTACTGTCCGGATACTTAAAACATCAATATGTCACTATCGTCAATGTGCAACATCAAAGAGTCTGTTTGAGAGATACAATAATGGAATGCATGTGGCGGTAGAGTAGTGCTTCGACTTGCTGGTATCATCGACAAGGCAATGTGTTACCGAAGATCGAGAGTTTATATTGCATAAATAATATATAGACACACACACATGTATAAACGTACATATACGTACTTCCCCTTAACCTTCCTCGTCCTCCTACCCCATTATTTTTACATTTCTGCCTGTGAATGTGTATTATTTTGTTGCATTTTTATTTCTTGAAGCCATGAAGCCAGAAGAGATAGAATACTACAAAAAGATGAAAGAAACAATCTCTTACTCCGGTCAAGGTGACCAATGGGTGTGCGAAATCTCAATGGGAGAAAACAAAAGCAGGCACGAATTTAAACTTGGAATAAAAAATCCACCGGAAAAGGGAATTGACGGTTCAACATTCTGTGTAAGACAACTTGCTTAATTACTGTGACGGTTAAATGTTTTGTGTTTTGTGTTTTGCCTACACTTTCCTTTTTAACTGTAACAACTTATTGAATTACATTGATGATTCAACTTTTAAAAAAACCTGCAAACACGATCCTTTTATTTGATGCACTGGCGTCCTCTAGTAAGGTCGTTGTAAAAGAGGATAAAATGTGACCGGGTGGAGTGTCAAGCTAAACTTGTAAGGTCAATGCAAATTCCGCTTTATACTTTAAATTTACATATTTATCAAAACAATTAATTGCTTTTCAAATGATTCAGTTGTTTTAATATTCCTAATAATTCGCTATTCATGTTTTTGTACAATAAAATATTTGGTTAAATGTGGGGGGTTTTCATCATGAAAATAACACATCTATAAAAGCCACATATAGATTGAGTAGGATCCGTCCTCCGTCAGTCAATAACAATAAGTACAACGTGAAGGGTCATGATGGTTTGCCTATCGCATAACAGACAGAAGGGCTATCAAGTTTATCCAAATTAAGACCCTGACCTAAATTTGGAGATCACATGGATGAAATGAGTAAATATGTTTGATTGCCTAATTATGAAAAACAAAGAGGGGTAGGTTCTTCATATTTTGCCTGAGGCATGTTTAAATATAACAGTGCAAGTGCCAACGCCTTCAGTCGATTTATAGGGAAGTAAAAGCTATTGCCAGCTACTGAGATGTTTCCCAGTTACTATACTTACTATAGTATCTAAGGAGGCACCGACATTTAAGTTCGTACGTGCTAAATAGTACGCACGCCCGGGCCTCCCTGTGTATGCATACAACAGCATATCATGTCAACCCGCTATTATTTGTTCAACATGTGCGAAAGGTGACACATCTATACAATAGTACACTTTCTCGATTTCAAACCGAGATTATCAGATTATTAGAAGAATATGAATATTGAAGACATCATCAAAATAATTTACAAAAATAAACCCGATTCAGGTACAGTATTAAATACACCTGTCTCCTTCCCCCATCCCGCGACAAAAATGTCAACCCTGAAAAAAACATGTACCTACCTTAGAGACATCCTGCTGAATTGGTTTGCGACAAGTTATATTTAAATCTCCATGACAAATTTACAAGGTCGCAGGAGTGAAATTTGTTGATTTGAAAAATATATAAATTACCATGACAATTTCACAAGGTCGCAGGAGTGAAATTTGTTGAAAAGAAATCTGAATAACAAAGGGTCATAGATTCACGATGTTTGGCCAGTGGCTTGGTCGGGGAAATACTAAATTTAATCCAAAAAAAAGGTTCTCATTGTTATTTTGGGGATGGAGGAGTCAAATAAATTGAAGCATTTCAACTAAATTTTGTGAGCGACCAAAAACCTAGATGCGTTATAAGGAAAATGCGATTATTTGATATTATATTATTAAGTTTAAAAGAAAAGCCTTAATCATTCTCTATTGTCACAGGGGTAGAATATGTCAAAAGATTTAAAAAAAACCACACCTTCCTAATACTTGACCTGCAGTATGAGGAGATGGAACGCTATACCGTTCGTCCAAATTATTAATCTTCTCCTAAAGGTTATGATTGACAAATGTGTCTTAAAATCTTGTAACGGCTTCTGCTGTATGCCACTACACGCTGGAAGGAAGCAACTGATGGTTTCTTTCTTGTCTTTTGTTTAGCAGACATTGAAAACAAAGCCAAGAATAGCCCCGCTGTATCCCACTGAATGTGTATCGTATTCCGTCTTTGCGTATTGCAGAGTTATCTTCTCTTGAGAGCAGGTATTGATTGTTACGTCATTGGGTTGTGAGATTAACGTCATCAATTTTTGAGAAAACGACGTAATTTTCTCCCACAAACCAATGACGTAACAATCAATACCTGCTCACAAGAGAAGACAACTTTGCAATACGCAAAGACGGAATAAGGCAACTAATGTTGCACCCCCTCTATCTCCTGTAGAATCAGGATTGTATTTCTTTGTCTTCTACTTAGACGAACTTTGATCTACAACAATTAGGATCATTTTCGTTACCTAACTTTCCAGCATACTTTCTCTCCTATATGCATTCTCTTTTAAGCGGTGGACATTTACATGTCTCCCTAGTAACCGCCGTCCTCAAATTACCATAGCTGTCGATAGGACGTTAAACAATACTAAACCATCCAAACCCTAGGTAACCGTCCGTACATGATCTTGACTGTTGCGAGGACGTTTAACATCAAACAATCAAGAGGCATAGGTAGATTAGCTGTTGCCAGTAGAAAGATGATAAACAGTGTTTTAAATTTCGTTTAAATAAACAGCATTGACAAACTTTCAACGATGCAGGGAACAATTTACGGCTATATAGTTTGTTATTTAAAGTAGACTGCGTAAATTGACAAATTTGAAAACCTACAATTACTTGAGCGAGTCTGCATTGATTCCAAATGCATTCAAATCCCTACCAAAATGCACTGCGGTACCCTCAATTAATCTCTATAGATTCCTAATGCCATTTCAAGACTTTTGAAAATCTTACTTGGAACACATTATATGTTAAAATTAAGAATTAATTTTCTGCACCTTCTTACATCTTTTAGTGGTTATGTACGTTATACATGTAAGACTGTTCATTCTGCTAAAGGAAATTTATGTAACGATGTTAGCCGTAGTACATAAATCTCGGAGAAAGTTTGGATGTTTAATACAGGAAGATTTTAAAGCTATATTTATAGATGAGAAATAAAATAAAAATAAAATGTAAATATTTGATTTCATTTGTATTAAATAACGTTGTTGAAAAAATATCAACATTATAAATAAGATCGGCAATACTTGTTGATCTACGTTAAGCCAGATTGATACATGCTTTACCAGGTATTTCTGTTGTAGATTGAGCCTACGTTAGAATCTGAGGACAAACTTGTGGAAATAGCTACCACAATGCTGGTTGGACACGATAAGGAGGTTGTCACTAGGACCGAGAGGTTTTTGACCGCTCCCAATAAAATGAAATCAGTAAGTAATGTGTGTAAAGGTCGCTATTAAATTGAACAATGTCCGGTTCGAATGCTCTGAACCGTATCGCAGTTTTCAAATTAAAGATAAATTGTTTTTTACTTAATATTTGCGATCTTCATTTTCACCATTGGGCAAAAAGTGTATGCATAAATCATGTACATTTCAACTCATGATTTAATGACAATAACGATTAATTGAAAGAACAACAAAGTAGATTGTATTTTCATGTTATGCACTATTTTGCACACTATGTAACTTGAACGCATTGTGAAGGAAATGCCCCTGCCAATAACTAACAGGTGTTGTTTGCTACAAGGAGAGTACAACTTCATTAACACCTTTGTTGTATAACGTAAATATATATTCAACGATGCATAACTGATTGATTGTGTATCTTTATTGATCGTAATGTTTGCTTTTAACTTCAAGTAGAAAAAATATACAGGATGAACGAAGGATATGGCCTTTATATTGCAGATTGTGACTGACGTAGCATCGGGTGTCAGCATGACGTTTTATGCAACCCGGAAGTGATGTTATAATCTTCATTCGAGATTTGTACGCATGACAGAAATCAGGGCTGTGGAACAACCTTACAAACTATGTGACGTTAAGTCCGAAATCACCTAAGTGTACTTTCATATTATTGGCAAGTGTTTTCCTACACTCGTTTTTGTGTGCGTAAACATGATTTTGTAAATGTCGGTCAAACAATAAAAAGAAATTGTTAATGCTTGGTGGACGAATTGTTTTGGTTTGTGAATTAGTATGACACGTCTCTTAATATGAAGCAGATGTGACCGTATCAATGACTTTACATACGTGAATAATTTCAGAAGTGTATTGCTAAAGTCTTATACAGCAGAAAGTGTAAAACTTTTTAGAAATGCGAGTCCGGTCCAGAAGACAGCTATCGCGCTTTTCTCGGTTTGGTTAGGAAGTATATTGTAATTTTTTTTTAAATTTAAAACTAAGGTCATGTATTTAGAAGTGTCTCCATGTGTGTAATGTATGTGTGTTCATGTTATATGAACATGCTCGTGTAGTATGTTGGCGTATTTTCCTCCTTGTGATAGCGCGGATCTCATGAGAACCTTATAGTTCTACCTCACTGAAATATCAAGCCGAATGCTCATAACAAAATATATATCCTCTATATCCTCTCCCTCTGCCCCTTTTTATGTCCTTTGAACAAATCTTATGTCATGATTTATTGATCTTTAAGATATATCTAAATAGAATTAATTTCTTTCAAACGGAATTGTTCAATTATGAGCACACGATGTGGGCCCTGAAAAGGTTTAATTCTCCCGTGAAATACTGCTTCCTCTATTTTTTCATGAATTTCGAATGAATTTGAAATGACGTTCAACTCTGGGATATGTCAAAAACTTGCCTACTTTGTTTATTATTATTTTCACGGAAAGGCTATGAAATAGTGTGACTATGAAATGTTGGGAAATAACACTACCTTTATACACGAGCTATATTCCCCACATTATTTGTCCTTTCCTTCCAATACTTCATCATATTTTGTTTGATCAATTACTATGGAAGAAATATGTGAAAGAAACTAGCGACATCGTTTCGAATTGAATTTATGACTGTAATTAACGATGGTGGAGCTGCAAGAATCCTTAATAACATCTTTGTTATGTCATGCGTAAAGATATTTATAGCAAATAACTGTTGATACGATGACGGAACACCCATTGTTTAGCCCACGTAATACGACACCCATACAGCTTTGGAAAATTAAAGACCTGCTGTGTCCCACTGCATAAGATCGTAAGAGGCACCTAATGTGGGGGATCCTGCAGTGTCAGGGCTTTCCCTGCCTTGTATTTTGTTTGGAGCATTAAAGATATTAAGAATAGACCTGCTGTATCTAACTGCATGTGTATCGTTACAGATGGGTACAGTTGGGCCCTCTGAAGACTTCGGTGTTTCTTATTTGTCTTCCACTAGGGTGACATTGAAGTTCTTTGTCTTCCACTAGGGTGACATTGAAGTTCTTTTTCCTCCATAAGGGTGACATTGAAGTTCTTTGTCTTCCATTAGGGTGACATTGAAGGTTTTTTTCTTCCACCAAGGTGACATTGAAGTTCTTTGTCTTCCCCTAGAGTGACATTGAAGTTCTTTGTCTTCCACTAGGGTGACATTGACGTGTTTTGTCTTCCACTAGGGTGACATTGACGTTCTTTGTCTTCCACTAGGATGACATTGAAGTTTTTTGTCTTCCACTAGGGTGACATTGAAGTTCTTTGTCTTCCACTAGGGTGACATTGAATTTCTTTTTCCTCCATTAGGGTGACATTGAAGTTCTTTGTCTTCCATTAGGGTGACATTGAAGGTTTTTTTCTTCCACCAAGGTGACATTAAAGTTCTTTGTCTTCCCCTAGAGTGACATTGAAGTTCTTTGTCTTCCACTAGGGTGACATTGACGTGTTTTGTCTTCCACTAGGGTGACATTGACGTTCTTTGTCTTCCACTAGGATGACATTGAAGTTTTTTGTCTTCCAGTAGGATGACATTGAAGTTATTTGTCTTCCACTGGGGTGACATTGAAGTTCTTTGTCCTCCACTAGGATGACATTGAAGTTCTTTGTCTTCCACTAGGATGACATTGAAGTTATTTGTCTTCCAGTAGGATGACATGGAAGTTATTTGTCTTCCACTGGGGTGACATTGAAATTCTTTGTCCTCCACTAGGATGAAATTGAAGTTCTTTGTCTTCCACGAGGATGACATTGAAGTTGGTTGTCTTCCACTAGGGTGACATTGAAGTTATTTGTCTTCCACTAGGATGATATTGACGTTCTTTGTCTTCCACTAGGATGACATTGAAGTTCTTTGTCTTCCACTGGGATGACATTGAAGTTCTTTGTTTTCCACTAGGATGACATTGAAGTTATTTGTCATCCTAGTGGAAGACAAAGAACGTCAATATCATCCTAGAGGAAGACAAATAACTTCAATGGCATCCTAGTGGAAGACAAAGACCTTCAATGTCATCCTAGTGGAAAACAAAGAACTTCAATGTCATCCTCGTGGAAGACAAAGAACTTCAAAGTCATCCTAGTGGAAGTCAAAGAACTTCAATGTCATCCCAGTGGAAGACAAAGAACTTCAAAGTCATCCTAGTGGAAGTCAAAGAACTTCAATGTCACCCTAGCGGAAGACAAAGAACTTCAATGTCGACGACAAAGAACTTCAATGTCATCCTATTGGAAGACAAAGAACGTCAATATCATCCTACTGGAAGACAAATAACTTTAATGTCATCCTAGTGGAAGACAAAGATCTTCAATGTCATCCTAGTTGAAGACAAACAACTTCAATGACACCCGAGGGGAAGACAAAGAACGTCAATGTCACCCTAGTGGAAGTCAATGTCATCCTAGTGGAAGAAAAATAATTTCAATGTCGTCCTAGTGGAATACAAAGAACTTCAATGTCACCCTAGCGGAAGACAAAGAACTTCAATGGCATCCTAGTGGAAGACAAAGAAATTCAATGTCATCCTAGTGGAAAACAAAGAACTTCAATGTCATCCTATTGGAAGACAAAGAACGTCAATATCATCCTACTGGAAGACAAATAACTTTAATGTCACCCTAGTGGAAGACAAAACACGTCAATCTCACCCTAGTGGAAGGCAAATATCTTCAATGTCATCCTAGTGGAAAACAAAGAACTTCAATGTCATCCTATTGGAAGACAAAGAACGTCAATATCATCCTAGTGGAAGGCAAATAACTTCAATGTCACCCTAGGGGAAGACAAAGAACTTCAATGTCACCCTAGTGAAAGACAAATAACTTCAATGTCAACCTAGTGGAAGACAAAGACCTTCAATGTCATCCTAGTGGAAAACAAAGAACTTCAATGTCATCCTAGTGTAAGACAAAGAACTTCAATGTCATGGTAGTGGAAGACAAAGAACTTCGATGTCATCCTAGTGGAAGACAAAGAAATTCAATGTCATCCTAGTGGAAAACAAAGAACTTCAATGTCATCCTATTGGAAGACAAAGAACGTCAATATAATCCTAGTTGAAGACAAATAACTTCAATGGCATCCTAGTGGAAGACAAAGATCTTCAATGTCATCCTAGTTGAAGACAAAGAACTTCAATGTTATCCTAGTGGAAGACAAAGAAATTCAATGTCATCCTAGTGGAAAACAAAGAACTTCAATGTCATCCTAGTTGAAGACAAAGAACTTCAATGTCATCCTATTGGAAGACAAAGAACGTCAATGTCATCCTACTGGAAGACAAATAACTTTAATGTCACCCTAGTGGAAGACAAGTAACTTCAATGTCATCCTAGTGTAAGACAAAGAACTTCAATGTCATCCTAGTGTAAGACAAAGAACTTCAATGTCGACGACAAAGAACTTCAATGTCATCCTATTGGAAGACAAAGAACGTCAATATCATCCTAGTGAAAGACAAATAACTTCAATGTCAACCTAGTGGAAGACAAAGAACTGCAATGTCATCCTAGTGGAAGAAAACGAACTTCAATGTCATCCTAGTAGAAGACAAAGAACTTCAATGTTATCCTAGTGGAAGACAAAGAAATTCAATGTCATCCTAGTGGAAAACAAAGAACTTCAATGTCATCCCAGTGGAAGACAAAGAACTTCAAAGTCATCCTAGTGGAAGTCAAAGAACTTCAATGTCATCCTAGTGGAGGACAAAGAACTTCAATGTCTCCCTAGCGGAAGACAAATAACTTCAATGGCATCCTAGTGGAAGACAAAGAAATTCAATGTCATCCTAGTGGAAAACAAAGAACTTCAATGTCATCCTAGTGTAAGACAAAGAACTTCAATGTCACCCTAGTGAAAGACAAATAACTTCAATGTCAACCTAGTGGAAGACAAAGAACGTCAATATCATCCTAGTGAAAGACAAATAACTTCAATGTCAACCTAGTGGAAGACAAAGAACTGCAATGTCATCCTAGTGGAAGAAAAATAACTTCAATGTCACCCTAGTGGAAGACAAGTAACTTCAATGTCATCCTAGTTGAAGACAAAGAACTTCAATGTTATCCTAGTGGAAGACAAAGAAATTCAATGTCATCCTAGTGGAAGTCAAAGAACTTCAATGTCATCCTAGTAGAAGACAAAGAACTTCAATGTTATCCTAGTGGAAGACAAAGAAATTCAATGTCATCCTAGTGGAAGTCAAAGAACTTCAATGTCACCCTAGCGGAAGACAAATAACTTCAATGTCAACCTAGTGGAAGACAAAGACCTTCAATGTCGTCCTAGTGGAGGACAAAGAACTTCAATGTCATTCTAGTGGAAGACAAATAACTTTAATGTCATCCTAGTGGAAGACATTGAAGTTCTTTGTCTTACACTAGGATGACATTGAAGTTTTTTGTCTTCCACTAGGATGCCATTGAAGTTATTTGTCTTCCGCTAGGGAGACATTGAAGTTCTTTGTCCTCCACTAGGACGACATTGAAGTTATTTGTCCTCCACTAGGATGACATTGAAGTTATTCGTCTTCCACTAGGGTGACAATGAAGTTATTTGTCTTCCACTAGGGTGACATTGACGTTCTTTGTCTTCCACTATGGTGACATTGAAGTTCTTTGTCTTCCACTAGGACGACATTGAAGTTCTTTGTCTTCCACTAGGACGACATTGAAGTTATTTGTCTTCCTCTAGGGTGACATTGAAGTTATTTGTCTTCCACTAGGGTGACATTGAAGAGACAAAAAATTATCTCCATCTCCTATTGCAACAATTTGAATATTTTTGTGTTTCCTATCTTTCATGTCTTCCCTCTTTTCTTTTTACTTTCTCTTTCCGGCGATGTCTATTTAGACACTCGTACACCTGGCTATTACAGGGATGTTAAGCCACAATCAAACTGCATTTCATATGATCGTAATCATTGATAATTCAAGGTTCAATTCAAAAGTATTTTGTGCAGAACTTCGGACATGTAAGTTAGAATACTCAGCAATGCTATGTTCGTGCAAAAGTAATTCTGTTGGTCTCATCGCCTTGCTTACTTACCAGGGAGGAGGACGTTGCCGTCTTAACCTGGACGAACGCTCAACATTAAAGCCGCAAGTGAGGCATTGCCAAGAAAGGCTCTAGGATATAAAAGGTGTCTCCAAATAGAGGGCACTAAAGCAAATCCCCAATTCTGCTGGGAGTTCACTCATTAGTCGCCTCCTACGATAATGCAGTGGGTAACAGTAGATGTATTATTTTCTCGATCCCCGACCTGCAGGGGTGGAGTAATTGATAACTACACTATGTTGTTTCTACTGAATGCTAAAGAACAGTCCTTTTAAGCGGATGAAAGGCATAGTTTGCAAAACAATTTCATGAAATATAATAAAAACAGTTAGATATTAAGTAAGAGCAAGAGGCCCAGAGGGCATGTATCGCTCACCTGAATATTTAAGCAGTCATAGCAAAATATTCTCATTAAATATTATATTGCACTACAAATATGTCCCACGCAAACTTTGTCATCTCCGTCTGTTGAAACTACCATCCAAATATTATTATAAGATTCTATGCTTTTTTATTCTTCTTGACATATTTTCCCCTGTGACCTTGTCATGTTCCTCCTCAAATTGGTTAGCTCTATTTAAAAAAGCTACCAGCCAAATATTATAATTTTATGCCTTTCGATTATTCAGAAGAAGTCATTTGATGTTTTTGACATATTTGACCCCAGTGACCATAAAAGAAGGTCAAGGTCATTTTCATTCTCAATCTTTGCCGGGCTCTATCTCAGGAAACCATCAGTCAAATATGAAGATTATATACCTTTTAGTTCTTCAGAAGACGTCGTTTAAAGAGTTTGACATATTTGACCGATGTGACCTTGAAAGAAAGTCAGGGTCATTTCCATTCTCAAAGTTTGTTTGGCTCTATCCCAGGAAGCCACCAGCCAAATATAAAGATTCTATACCTTTCAGTTCTTCTTCAGAAGTCGTTTGAAGCGTTTGACACATTTGACCCTTGTGACCTTGAAAGTACATCAATGTAGGTCAAGGTCATTTTCATTCTCAAACTTTGTCGGGCTCTATCTCATGAAACCAACAGCCAAATATGAAGGTTATATACCTTTTAGTTCTTCAGAAGAAGTCGTTTAAAGAGTTTGACATACTTGACAGCTGTGACCTTGAAAGTAGGTCCAGGTCATTTTCATTCACAAACTTTGTCGGGCTTGATCCAATGAAGCCACCAGCCAAATATGAAGATTATATACCTTTTAGTTCTTTAGAAGAAATCGTTTGAAGTTTTTGACATATTTGACCCCTGTGACCTTCAAGGTCATTTTCATTCACAAACTTTGTCAGGCTTCTACCACCGAAGCTTTTAGCCAAATATGATGACTCTAGGCTTGTCCGTTCTTCATAAAAATTGCTTAAAGGAAAAGTTGACGGACGACAACGGACGACGGACGATGGACGCCCTACCATGACATAAGCTCACTCGCCCTTCGGGCAGGTGAGCTAAAAATCAGCTTTGCAAACTTAATTAATTACTATTCCTTAAATAACTGGGAAACTATTCCACACATCATTATCATTCGAGGTGTAACTATCTAAAATGTCCTTGTCTGAAACTGTAATTAGATGTTTACCACTGGGTGTTGCTCTAGGGAGAGGACATAAATAGACAATATCTGATGTTCATTCCTATTGACTTCATTTTGCCAATAAAATATTTTGATATCGAACTTGAGCTGTGTTGATATACATTCTTATTGATACTCTATGTCGATATAGTGAAAACACAGTCAGTAATAATTTGTTGTCTCAGATATGTCTTAATATTCGATTTACCTTATTCTTTGTTCCATATACTTCACTGTTTCGTATGTTTATGTCTTGGATTTTGATTTAATTTTATATTTCTTGATAAAACAGCATCGAGTTGCTTTATGTTCAACTTAAAACGTGTTCGTTGAGTTTCATGTATCAAGTATTTTAATACATATATCTCCTTAAATTTTATCAGGTTTCGGTTAAACGAGGAAACGCATATGGTTATTTGTTCGTTACATTGCACCTAATGCTCTTTGGAATCCAAAAGCATGGTATTTGGAGTTGAACACGATCCTAGAATTATCAAGGCTATCATGATACATAATAAAGCATGGTTTTTGGAGTTGAACACGATCCTAGAATTATCAAGGCTATCATGATACATAATAAAACATGGTGTTTGCCTGTATCTCTCGGGCCGGACGAATTCAAAATTTAAGCTTCTTCCGAACTTCTGCCTCCATACCAGGTTTCATGTAGTAAAAGTAAGAGAAGAAACAGGGCTGATAGGATGTATGATATTAGATAGAGATATAAGAACCATATCAATTGAAGTTGATTTTTTTTATTTGGTCAACTTATTTCAACATAGAAATACCTGAGGTTAGCTGGTCAGGCAGATTTGGTAGCTTTTCTCTGCATTTTTTGGAAACTTGATTTCTCCGTGTGTGTTAATTGTAGTAGGGTTTGTAATTAAACAGGTCGATAATGCATAATATGATATAAACTTTATTTATTTTACAACAATAACGTAGCAAGTTATGTAAACTTATATTAATCACTCCTGTGGCCCCCAATGTTAGCGCGCAGGAGGTCTGATCTGGGAACCGAGCCAAAGCCGCCTATCAAGTGTTCCACCCGACCAGTCAATTTCGATTATGAAAGAACTAGTCGATATAAATATCCAACTGAGTTATTGGTAGTTTCGCCGTTCTAGGTAGTTCAACGCATTTTCTGCTGGTTAGAGATATGCCTTTGAAAGACATTTCCTAAATCATTGAAGTAAGAAAGTCCGCTTATCAGGTCACACCTACTTCATATTGAGATATATTTCATATACTAACAATTGAATAACAAAATCATAAAACACAGAAAGTCAATCAAACAGAGCTTTATTTATTTTTTGTCGTCAACGTTTAAAAACATTACTCGTTTACATATATTTCACGAGAGGTACGAACAAGTGTAGAAAATACACATTTCAATAACAAGAATGTACACTGTTTATTGCGTTTATGGTGTTAGCATCAGCTGATCATCACTAATTCTCTGCCCTGAGTTGTATGTGAGGACTACTCATTCCGGATGAACATTATAACGTCACTTCCGTGTTGCATCAAACGACATGCAGACCCCCGATGCTACGTCAGTCACAATCTGTAATAAAGGTTACCTCCCTTGATCAATCTGTATATAACTATTTTCCACTTGGAAAATTAAGTCAGTTCATTCACAATAAATCACTCCTATATCGCGGAACATGTATTTGAGTTATACAATTTTGTACTCGAGCAGAAATAGCACTAATGCGCAAAGTTGACATAATGTGCAAAACTTGCATAGCATGAAAATACAAGGTACTTTGTTGATCAACGCAATGAATTGATCTTCCTCTGTGTATATGATGCCAGCACATAATTTCTACTTAATCGAGAAAGGAATATAAGTTAAGTTAACTACAACATACTATTGTTTGTGTCTTTTGATACCTACTGATTTCATTTTATTTGGAGCGGTCAGGATCCTCTCGGTCCTAGTGACAATCTCTTTGTCTTTTCCTAGCAACATTGTTGTGGCTATTTCCACGAGTCTATCCTCAGATTCTAATGTCGGCTCAATCTACAACAGAAATAGTTGGTATAAAATTTATCAATTTGAAGAAAAAAACCCGGATATCAACAATAATTACCAACTTTGGTATAACGTTGAAATGTTATTCAACCTATTTGTTATTTTTGCATGTTTATGTTTTCTTTTCTCTTAATGAACTGTTAAAACCCTATTGTCATAAATACAATAAATCGCTACCTCTGTTTCCTGCGCTACTCTCCATTTACCTTTATAAACGGTCCATGGACTAAATCATTTGACCTCTCGAGATCATTGCTATCTATCTCATAACAAGATTACGGGTCATTGTGCGGAAAGCTACACAGTTGCAAAGAGTTGTATAATATAAATAGTTGATCATCTCTTAGAACTGGCAACAATAAAACAACGGCAGTTATTCGTCGACTTAAAGTAGTTGAGATGACCAAAAGTCAACAATTTACACGATGCGTTCACAAAGATAAAAGAAGACGTCAAGTCTAAGTAATGTCACGTTCTCACATCGCGAATGTGGGTACATTTGTAGTGACAACAAAACCACAATGCACTCTAATGAGCTTAGCCAAAAGCATCGACCTTCATATAGCAAAACGAAATAGTATTATTCACTGCGAGATCCTGACGGCGACCGTGAAACTATCCAAGGTTTCATCAACCTGCATCTTTGGAAACCCTGCATGCGTTGTAATTCTGTCCGTCAGTAGTTGACCTCTATCACGGAAGTCGTGACATTTGGAGCAATGCTCTTTTAAACAGTGTGAATGTTGTCTTACACAGAATGTTGAACCGTCAATTCCCTTTTCCGGTGGGTTTTTAATTCCAAGTTTGAATTCGTGCTTGCTTTTGTTTTCCCCCATCGATATTTCGCAAACCCATTGTTCACCTTGACCGGAGTAGGTAATCGTCTCTTGCATCTTTTTGTAGTATTCTATCTCTTCAGGCTTCATGGCTTCAAACAAAATGAAAAATACGACATAATGATAATGTACGGAAATGAAGTAGGGGTGATATGTAAGAGGGCACGAAGTACACGTTTGTACATTTATATGTGTTTATATTATATTTATGGAGCAGGCAAACGAAGGTGTAAGGAGGTGCGTATACAGTACCTAGGAGAACATAACAAGTGTGAGTGGTGTGTGTGTACGTGTATGTGTATGTGTATGATCAATAACATTAAAATTAATTTATTTAACGAATTAACGAAGTCAATAATAACATAATTCGTAATATATCACTCTCATGACATAAAATCATGTGCTGCTCTTCTGTGAAATAAGGCGAAGGTTTGAGCGGTGGTACATTGTCCTTAAGACTCAACAAGCCCACTGAAAGAGACTATAGTCACCCTATAACTTAACTCCATGATAGGTCATATTCAAAGACTTCAATTAAAAATGTGTTCCATAGCGAGGTTTTATGAAGTTAAATTTTTCACCAAGGTCATGCGGAGCTTAAATTCTCTTTAACTAGTTGTGGAGGGGCATGCCGGCCTCAAAAGTAGATGATTGTTGCTGTGGCAATACGCAAAAATCATAGTAAAATGCCCGAGTTACATATTTTACCGGTATGTATATAAAACCAAGGGCCCTGTGACCGTTATGAAGACATCAACTTTATATAAAGTGTCCTTTCGTAACATTTAATGTTGTTATAGAAAAGCTAGACATGTAAACTTTAAAGCACTTTCAGTTTCAATGTTTATAACATGACTAGCGCATGCATAACATCACAGGCAGTTATGAAATGGCACATCCTCTAAAGTTCATTTGTCGATTTAGGAAACATAGCATGTTTTTGTTTTCTGCTCAAAAATATTACCAGGGATTTTTATAATGATTTAAGTCGTCTCGCATGGAACCATCTGTCTTATTTTGAGGCTAGTAAGCCTGTCTACAGCTAAGAGAAATTCAGCTGTGGATGACCTAGGTATATATATATGAACTTCAGATTGTATGTCATTTCATAAAATATATTTTTGTCGCTTAAGGGAATGACATGTTATAAGTCCGGTGAACTATTTTTATGAAGACATCAGCCTTAATGTCTTGTTATTGACTACGTTACTCACTCTATGGGACATTTTAATAGCCAATGTGCAAGTTCAATATATCCAAACTACATATATAAGTTCTGATCTTTACTTGTGGTGTTTGAATATAACCTGATTGTGATGGGCTTACAAATAGAAGAATACTTGATGATGTGCATATTTTTATTGGAAAATCCCGTCGTTTTAATTTTTATATGACTTAAAGCCATGATGTTAAACACAAATATACTATATATTCTATATTTCATCCAGGAGATTCTAGTTGAGCATGACTAATGTCTATTACGTGTACTTATCTTGACATTGTAAATAATTACACTCTAAATGTATTAAATGAATTTATTATTTTTAATTGTAACAGTTGTTGGTAGCAGTGACCTGTGCAATATATGCACATGGACTTTTGGTCTAAGCCTGCCAATATCTGTCTATGATAGTGTATATATATGCTGAAATAAATGTATTTGTACATGTACTTGTATGTGTGTGTAAGTGTGTATGAGGTGTGTGAGATGTTTCCTTCATGAGTTACTTCCCCTTAGCCTTGTGTTAATATGAATCATTTTGTGTTATTTTTTTCATTTGCAACATGTCTAAAATATTATGTCTCCTTGTTTATTCCACTTTGGCCATTTGACGGAGAAAATTTATATAGGCTTTGCCTGTTATTCAACGACATCTTGTCAATAAAAATTGATGAAATGAAAAAAGATGAATATAACCTATCAATGGGTTGCCATCTAGGGCGACTAGAGCCACTTCCGGGGGGCTTGTTGAACCTTACGCAAATCGATAAAACATTCAAAGAGTTACTTACCCACAGCTTTGCAGAAGTTGAGAAAATTCTCTGATTTCTCACAACGATCGTTCATCTCCCATGATCCGAAGAATTTTGTCATGGTGGCAGTTAATTCAAATGATGTCTACTACTATAGGACCAGTGTTGTAGAGGCCCGTTTAGTTGATACCAGTCGAAAGTTTTCGGTTAAAACAAACAGTATAGAGTATTCACACATGTGTCATGCCTCCGATTTCGACAGTACAATTTACTGTTGATAATTTTCAGCTCGAATGTAGGCTGTAGACAATGGGGATTTCAGATATGTGAACTGTATTATATCAGGTCAAGAAATCGATAAGTTTGAATAGGTTTAAGCTCAGTAATGACAAAGATTATTAGTGTGTGTGTGATTAGGTATACGGCCATAACCCGTCACAGTGACCATGTACATGTATACATAGCCTCGGTTAAAATATGGGACGTAATTTGAAGCTATTCACGATAAAATTTAAATATAGAACGTGTTCAATATGAGCTACTAGCAGTCTGGAGAAGTGAATACAGATATATTAACCTTAATCTGTAGTACAAGTGTCTGTACGTGCAGTAGTGCTTGGGTAGACGGTCTTGAACACCCGCTCGTGTTGTAATGACCGAACTATTTAAAAACCTTTACCGCTGACAAAGACGCACACACATACAGTATATACATGTTATAAAACAGGTATCAACTTGATGACATATACACATGTTTGAATCGTGATATGTCTATGTCACGTTATAATTCTCAGGATTTTTTTATTCAAATGGTTTCTTTAATTCACATGAAGTTACCCTTAATTGACCAGCCTTTTACAGCTGGAAATTTGGGAAAAATACGTTTAGTTTCGCTTTTTTCTGAATTTTTCCGTTTTCAATCATCACAATACCACTTCTCGCCATAAATAAATCTTCAGATATACCTTAGAATCAAAATTGATCTGCTTCAAACATTGCAAAATTTTGAGTCTACATCTTTTCTTTTTTCACTTACATAATATACCTTTGGTGGTGTATTCCTACCAATTTTATACATGTATATGCAATGGCTGTTTCAAGGAAGGTATTCCAAAAACAAGTACAAAATGAAATTAAATACATATATGTTCAAAGATTGCTAAAAATACATGAAAATTTGATTTAAAAAACACTCGGAGATGTTTAAAATAGGATAAAAATATACATTTTCTATAAAATTTTTTACTGCCAACGGGTGAACCAATTGTTGCCATTACCCTAAATGCTGAACGCAAAATAACAACTACCATTTTATGGACTTTTGTATTTCGCGGCCTAAGGACAGAACCCATTGCCTTCCTCACCTGGGCAAAAGTTCAACAAAAAAGCCAAAAGTAAGGTATTGCCAATTAAGGCTCTAGTACATAAAAGGTACATTAGTTAGAGGTAGAGAGAAATATCTGATCCAAAATATTGCAAACGATGCAGCAGATCGATTTGTGACTTTTGCGTTCCGAAGTAGAGGTCACAAAATGCAATCCCAAATTTTGCAAAGAGTTCCCTCATTACTCGCCTCATACGACACATGCAGGTTTATTCTTCTCCCCATCCCCGACCCCCAGGGGTATGTAGCAGGTGGAATATGCCTTCATGTATAAAACCCTTCATAACTACAACGATATCTTTTGTTAACGCTGTAATTTCTGCAAATCGTGCCAAATATGTAGTTTTCCCTCAACACGGCTGGCGCTGCGAATGAGTCCCGAACATTTGCAATGAGTAAATTTCTATGTTATTTCTTAAACAATGTTCTGAGTACAAAAATGCAAAGGTTAATTTACTGCTGATCTAATCAATAAAGCTACCTGGTCAGTTGTGTTCACAAAACTCATTCGCGCAGCAGTTATGCAATACATCCAACAATAAAGCTGTTCATCTATGTAAAAAAACCTACGTAGTAGGAAGTATCTAGCGTTTTAACCACAGTGGGACAAAGATTTTAAACAGAATGTGTCATTTTAACGTTCATTTACTTTATTATATCAATTTCTTTTTACAAAATTCTTAAATCGGTATCGCTTTGGAAAAATAACATGATAAAAGACGCGGCAAAACTAATTTTGATATCAGAAATAATGTTTCAGAGTGAATGAAAGTATTAAAATCAATCGTATAGAAATAATAACAAAGCGTGTATGCGTACTATTGTGACGCTGTATATGTATTAACGGATGTAGAGGATTAGGTCTAGATCCGTGTAGGATTAGGATCCTTTAATTCACCCAGGGGTAAACGAGTCTTGATTTTGTTCCAGTATACCGACATTTAAGTGCTAATGACAATGGATAAATGACGTGCTAATGACAATGGATAAATGACGTGCTAATGACAATGGATAAATTACTCTAGACAAACTGTGAAACTATTTATGTCACAAAGATTGCATATGCTCGCTGATATCGTTTGTTTATCACAGAAATTCTTTGGAGAACTCATTCAGTATATTTATCTATGGAATAAACACTCCGTTGTGGGTATGCATCTGTGACAAAGTCGGGTTCCTCCTCTGGATTTGTGTATAAACTGCTGAAGTGTGTGTATTAAACAGGATATACGATGTCTGTGTTTCAAGGCAAATGGATTGATGACAAAACAACAGGAGAATCAGAGAATTTTGATGGATTTTGCGATGCTATGGGTAAGCCTAAATCATGTACATTAAAAGCTTCGATTTAATGCCCTTGTTTTATTGCCACTTCGCCTACCGTTAGCACATATCAACGTCCCTCTTCTTCTGTATACATTTTCCCTCATTTTATTGTCGAACATCTGTATAACGCGAACATTTCTCTGGACAAAGTATAACGAGGTTTTATTAGTATTATAGTTCAATGTCCCGTTTACCTTTCCTTCGGAACTCCTTTATACAACATTTTCTTCCCCCGATTAATTATCAAATTTTGTTTTAAAACAGCAAATTTTCTCTAGACAATAAATGGCAGTATAACGCCAAAGCTTCTCCGGACAAAATTACTGTATTGATATACTCCAAAGTCCATACAAATTCCCTTATACGTTTCCCTCGATTTATTGTCAACCTACTTTATAACGCCACAATTTTATCTGGACAAACGGTGGCAGTATAACGAGGTTTTAATGTAAATATTTCGTGGTTGACATAGGCGTAACATCGGATGGGAAGAACATGTATAAGGACGTGAAGATGGGTATTCAATACATTGTGGAAGGGGACACGTGGACATATGACCTCACAATTGGAGACACTGCGCAGGCGTATACACTACGAATTGGCGTCACCAATCAGGAAGATGTTGACATGGAAGGAAACAGAATCGTTGTATGTATAAGTGCTTTGTAAACTTTTGATATCTACAAATGTACTACCGAAATCAAAGGGGCCTGTAAAACCAATAACAGGATATATGTATTGGTCTTATCATAATGTGTCAAAGTCATTATTACAATGTAGAGTCTTATAGTTCTTCCTACACGTCAGGATATGTATCTGGGAGGTGTGGTTGTTGTTACAAAATGTATACAGATAATTTAATTACTTCCCTTGAACTTCGAATTACCTCCCCTTTTGTTTTCCCCAAAAAAAACACCCAGTTGCAGTTGACCGCATTTTATCAAAAGAAATTTTCATAATTTATATGAATTTCATTGTGCTGCAAAAGTTTCGGCAACACATAGGAACAGGAATTTTAAATTTTACGAATTATTTATGTCCACCGCTATATTTATACCATACAGCACCTGCTGTTTTTACCATTTCATGTTACCTTTCTAGGGTGTATAGGCTTTCTCATTTTACACCTGCTGTACACACCTAGTATATTTATTGAATAGAGGTTTAAAAATAAAAAGCCGAACTTTCTCTTTATTGATGAGTTTAGGTACTACATTTCCGCTAATTTAAGAGTCACTACATGTAATAAGTCCTACATGTAACACTTCGTTCCGCTAAAATTTGAGTTCGCTGAAATAAGAACGCTTACAGTAATACCAATTAACCAAATTTGTTTCCAGACTACGCCCACGTTAGAACAGCCAAACAAACTTGTCGAATTGACTGATACCTGGCTACCGTCCGGACAGAAGGTAACGACCCGGATGGAGAGAACCGTTGTCGGGGACACCATGAATTGTGTAAGTACATTATATACATGTACATGCAGTTTTCACATTGTTGCAAGGTTGGGTGATGCTTACATAGTATACTTGTATATCACAGTTAATTTACACATGGTAGTATACAATGTAGACAGATTAATGTTGGTTTCTGGGGTTGTGTGACCAACAATGTATACAGTTATATACAGATACATAAAGATACATACACGTACAGATATATACACTACCTTGTACCTACAGGGGTATAGACAAAACACAGATACATACAATGTACACGTACATATATATACACTACATTGTACCTACAGGGGTATAGACAAAACACAGATATTTACACGTACATATATATACACTACATTGTACCTACAGGGGTATAGACAAAACACAAATACATACACGTACATATATATACACTACCTTGTACCTACAGGGGTATAGACAAAACACAGATACATACACGTACAAACAGATATAAACAAATGCGTAAATGTATATACAGATAAATATATATATACGTACAGTACATACAGGTACATATAGATACATACAGGTACATTTATAAATACACCACATACAGATACATACACGTACATATAGATACGTACATGCAGATGTATACTATATATACAGGTATATACGGATACATACACTACATTCAGATGCAAACACGTATATACAGATGTATACACTACATAAAAGATACAAACATATACGTACAAAATGTACATGTGTATACAGATACAAAAGTACATATGCGTACAGTACATACATGTACATACATGTACATACATATAGATACAGTTGTGTGACCGTACCAGGCACCAATAATTGCGTGCGCACATCGTGCATACATCGTGCACACACACCGTACGCGTCCACACATGGTGCGCACAACTGTGCGATTTATCAATCGTTCGCCCCGTTGTGCGCTTCTCTCCGCACAACTGTTCGATTTGGTACAATTGGTTGGTCAATATTACGAAATAAAAACAATCCGGAAGGCTCGTATAGAATATGGAAGACTGTATATATACATTTCTCATCATATTAATTAGATTATGTTCAATTTTACAATGCGTGTTGCACAGTCATTACAGTGACCGTTAGACTGTCAAGAACGGGTTTGTACCCAGAAACAGAACATGTATTTTTACCTGGCGACATATGCATGTGGATGACATAGATAGCCGATATATGATACCGTATGACCGTTATGAAAGCACAACTGGATGTTGAGTATTTGGTATTTGCATTCGTTCTGATCTATAGCTCCCCTTCACCTGGAGTTTCACACCTTGTCGAGTTACGTAAGTGCCCCGGGTGTGGAAAAACTTCGGTCTAGGTACATGTAAAAAGTGGCTATATTTACCAGTATATGGGACGGTGTCAACATGTGTTATACATGTAATTGTACATGTGAAGATTTGGATCGTTTAAAAAACACCGAAACACCGTTTCTGAATTTAAGAAAGTATACAAACATCAGCTAATATAAGTAGGTAGAATATAGAAACATACGTTAACAATCAAATATATCTTTTTCAAACACGAAACCGTAAAATATTGTTAAGCTATTCTTCAATTTACACCAAGGACGATTGTCATCGCACAACTTACAATGTACGTCCATCGTCCGTACAAATGTACGCAAGCAACAATCGTCCAGATTTTCATCTTTTGCACATCGTGCACACACCATGCGCGCACACCGCGTAACGTTGTGCGTTTCCACAACTGTATATACAGATGCAAACACTACAAACTTATGCATACACACATATATATATACATGTTTATACAGATACATGCACGTACATACACTACATACTGATACAGACACGAACATACTGATAAACACTACATACAGATACATACACTACTTATAGATACATACACGTACATACAGATACATACAATATAAACATACCTACATTACATACAGATTAATACATTACATACAGATACATCCAAATCCTAACACGTACATACATATTCATACAGTTATGTACAGATACATGCACGTACTTATATATATATACACCCTACAGGGGTATAGACAAAACACAAATACATACACGTGCATACAAAATACACCACATACAGATACATACACTACTTATAGCTACATACACGTACATACAGATAAACACCCGTGCATACAGATCTACAGGGGTATAGACAAAACACAAATACATACACGTGCATACACGTATATGCAGATACATACACGTGCATACAAAATACACCACATACAGATACATACACGTGCATACGTTGGTTTCTGGGGTTGTGTGACCAAAAAGGTATACAGTTATATACAGAGACATCAAGATACATACACGCACATACAGATACATACACTCCTTATAGATACATCCACGTACATACAGATACATCCACTACTTATAGATACATACACGCACATACAGATACATACACTACTTATAGATTCATACACGTACATACAGATACATACGCTACTTATAGATACATACACGCACATACAGATACATACAATATAAACATACCTACATTACATACAGATTAATACACTACATACAGATATATACAATATAAACATACTTACACTACATACAGATTAATTCACTACATACAGATATATACAATATAAACATACCTACACTACATACAGATTAATACACTACATACAGCTATATACAATATAAACATACCTACATTACATACAGATTAATACACTACATACAGCTATATACAATATAAACATACCTACATTACATACAGATTAATACACTACATACAGCTATATACAATATAAACATACCTACACTACACACAGATTAATACAGTACATACAGATAGATACAATATAAACATACCTACACTACACACAGATTAATACAGTACATACGGATATATACAATATAAACATACCTACACTACACACAGATTAATACACTACATACAGATACATACATGTACATTGAATGTTGGAAGACAATGCAGTGGTCCGAAACGATTAAACAAGCTGTGTAGGCCGCCACAAGAAGTTTCACATTTATCAAACTCTTTTATTTTTTGTGGATGTGTTTTGCTAATCTGAATACACACTGCTCTTATCAACTAAATAGACAAGTACACGACTGTAATAATAACACTTATTAAACAGGTACCCAACCGTGTTCAAATATATTACCATCAATATTATACCCCGCCGTTTATCCTTTTAATCGATATTTCTATTTACTTCACGAAAACATTGATACCACTTTACCTGACATTTTAAGAAGTTTGAATTTTGTCCCCATTTTACTTACATTTATGATATGTTTAAACGTCTTCTTCTTTCTATTTACAGGCAATCACTCATCTAGAATCTGGACAAACAATGACATTTAACATGACACGTATGACGTCATAAGTATCGTGAAGTGAAATGTTCCATACTTGGAATTACAAACATTTTTTTATGTAGAAGTTTAAATAAAAAAGACATGCTTCAAAATAAAGAGGTGTCGTCATTGATTTGATATGTTATTAGAACTTTTCGAATAAAGAATAAAGTGGTAATGTTTGTCAGAGAGTAACGACATAGTGCCGTAGTCAGAGGTAGCGGCGTCCAAGATATACCGGCCTATCAGTACCCCCTGTGTGAGTTATAGTGAGATAGACCGGCCTATCAGTACCCCCTGTTGGAGTTATAGTGAGATAGACCGGCCTATAAGTACCCCCCGTGTGAGTTATAGTAAGATATACCGGCCTATCAGTACCCCCTGTGGGAGTTATAGTGAGATAGACCGGCCTATAAGTATAGTGAGATAGACCGGCCTATAAGTACCCAATGTGTTAGACCGGGTCAGAACAACAGGAATATAAGCTCCCCACGTGTGAATCCTGAATCAGAAATACTTTTTGTACTCGGCGATATTGCCCAATATTTAAGACTGACCTACAAGTACTCTATGTGTGGGTCCTGATCAGAAGTACTGGCCTATTGCCGTATGTTCCCCATATGAGAGTTCTATTCAGAAGTACCGTTGTATAAGTACCCCCTGTACATGTGTTAGCCCTGGTCCGAAGTACTGGGCTATATTGCCCAGTGTTTATGGTTTCGTTAAAAAAAAATATAACGTCCTATTAACAGCTCATTTAAGGACCTGCCTTCATGTGTGAAGTGTATGCGTGTTCTCGTGTGAATGCAGGTGACAGGGTATGCTTGTGTGCTTGCCACTTTGTGATAGCGCGGATTTGGTGCCGACTTTATAGAGCTATCTCACTGAAATGCCATGCCCGGTCATATTATGCTGAACGTTAAGCAGGGAATAACAACTAACATTTTAAGGATTTTGGTATGTCCCGGCCTGGGGACTGAACCCATAACCTTCCCAACCTGGGCGAACGCTCAACATTTAAGCCAAAAATGAGGTGTTGCCAAGCAAGGCGCTAAGAAATTAAAGGTAGCAAGAAGTAGAAAGAAAAATAAAGATCCCAAATATTGCAATGGGTGCAGCAGATTTATTTTAGTCGCTTTCGTGTCCTCAAATAGAGGACACCAAAGCAAATTTCCGATACTACAGAGTGTTGCCTCATTAGTGGCCTCATACGATAACAGCAGGTGTATTCTTTTCCCGATCCCCCGACTGCAGGGGTGTAGTGTTTATGACGTGGTTTGACTGAAGCTACCCTATGTGTGGTTCCTGATCAGTTGTACTGGCCTATTGATACAAGTTCGTCATATGAGAGTGCTGTTCAGAAGTACCGGCGTATATTACCCTCTGTGTTAGTCCTGGTCCGAGGTGCCGCCTATAGGTATCCCATGTGTGAAGTACTGCATGTGTGAACCGTAATTCTGAAGTACCGGGCCCGTATTCATGAAACCGTTCTCATGCTCAAGCATGGATTCTGTGCTCAAGCCAGCTTTCTTGTAACCCATCTAAATCATGTCAACGATCAAAAAGTAAAATTTAAATATTGAAAACAGTATTTGGCTTCAATTTTTTTCATTTTTTTTATAACAAAATAAGATCTTTTAAATAATTTATCACTGGAACAAGAAATTAGACTTGAGCACAAAATCCATGCTTGAGCATGAGAACGGTTTCATGAACACGGGCCCCGGACTACATTGCCAAGTCTTTATGACATGGTCTGACTGAAGCACTGACCTACAACAAGTACCCAAAGAGGGTTCTGTTCAGAAGTACCGGCGTATAAGTACCCAATGTGTGTGTTCTGGTCAACACCGGCGTATAAGTATCCCATGTGTGTGTCCTGGTCAACACCGGCGTATAAGTACCCATGTGTGTGCCCTGGTCAACACCGGCGTATAAGTACCCATGTGTGTTGACCAGGACACACACATGGGTACTTATACGCTGGTGTTGACCAGGGCACACACATGGGGCACTTATACGCCGGTGTTGACCAGGGCACGCATATGGGGAACTTATACGCCGGTGTTGACCAGGGCCCACATATGGGGAACTTATACGCCGGTTTTGACCAGGACACACACATGGGTACTTATACGCTGGTGTTGACCAGGGCACACACATGGGGAACTAATACGCCGGTATTGACCAGGACACACGCCTGGGATACTTATACGCCGGTGTTGACCAGAACACCGGCGTATAAGTATCCCATGCGTGTGTCCTGGTCAATACCGGCGTATAAGTTTCCTATGTGTGTGCCCTGGTCAACATCGGCGTATAAGTTCCCCATGTGTGTGTCCTGGTCAACACCGGCGTATAAGTTCCCCATATGTGTGCCCTGGTCAACACCGGCGTATAAGTACCCATGTGTGTGCCCTGGTCAACACCGGCGTGTACATGTACGTACCCCATGTGCGTGCCCTGGTCAACACCGGCGTATAAGTATCCCATGCGTGTGTCGTGGTCAACACCGGCGTGTAAGTACCCCATGTGCGTGCCCTGGACAACACCGGCGTATAAGTACCCATGTGTGTGCCCTGGTCAACACCGGCGTATAAGTACCCATGTGTATGTCCTGGTCAACACCGGCGTGTAAGTACCCCATGTGCGTGCCCTGGTCAACACCGGCGTATAAGTTCCCCATGTGTGTGTCCTGGTCGAAACCGGCGTTTAAGTACCCCATGTGCGTGCCCTGGTCAAAACCGGCGTATAAGTACCCATTCATGTGTCCTGGTCAGGAATATGTACACTGGCAATATTTACTTTCATTCACATTCACAATCGATCAAAGTTTTTGGTTGTCCGAACAAGTTCTGAAAACTTTCCATGATCGATAAGCAGGGATAAGGTATGATGTTTAAATCATATTGACATTATTATTAAGTAGTCAAGTTCAAGGTAGTCTTTACTCATGCTCACGTGTCATAGACGTGTCAGGTATTTTACCTGCGTTAGGATGGAAATGTCCCATACGTTTAAGTTAGTTTAAAGATTTATTTGGGGGTTTTCGGTATTATTTTGTGACAAGACACCTGTTATTACAATTTTCAAACTCCAACATGGCGACAAGGGCCAACATCGGCTCAGTTCGTTAGCAGTTAGCTTAGTTGATCCGACTAAAACGATTGTACATTTGTAAACGTTAACCATTCGGATCTCATGTTATTCTGTGTTTTTTATCGTGCATGTTATCACACGGATACATCATGTCCCTAAGCATACCTTTGGACATGCTTATACTAGATATTAAGATAAGTAATGGCGTCTATGTCAATATTAATAATTGGGAAAGGGCGTTTATAGACATTGCCTTTGGCTAATCCATTTGTAAACATTTGAAATTAATTTGAAATAAAACGGAACTAAAATAAAATATAAATATTTTAAGAAGTTCGCAAATCAATGGCGACCGTTATCAATGGTATACTTATATATTAGAATTTATACGTATGTAAGTGACCATTATTCAACCGGACACATTAATCGAGAGAAACCCAAAATATTTAAATGGTTTTGACATTTCTAATTCCAGATACTACATATTTAAACATAAAGGAACCCAAAACGACACAGAACAAATGAAGTTTATTCTTTACATTCTTCATAAACACGATGCTTCTCTTACATGTCATTGTTTTCAACACATGATAATATTCGGTTAATTGTCCTTTGGTTCTATTGTTTGGTGGCTGTATAGGAGTACGTGACACCTTTGCCTTTCACGGTGTGAGTCTGAAAAATGGAATGAAAAAGTATTCGTAGTCAATCATCTCTATATAAAAAAAACATGTAACATCAATGGTAAACAAATGCCCTGGTATTGTTACACTAAGCTTAAAATGTTTTATGCCAACCAACGAAACTGAAGAAGTGTTATCAGAGATTTACAATCTAGAGTCACCCTCTTGATTTAATTTTTTTATCAGGACATATTGGAGATAAGATATTATATATTTTATAATTACAATGAAATACGCAGTCGCACAGTCATTAGTCAATGACATCCAAATTAACACGTAGATTTATACAAAATAAACAATGTAAAACATAAAACAATAACGATCAAGTCACGACAAGTAGTGCTATATCACATCACATAAAGCCGATGATAGCAAAAGTCTCCGGCGGTGTTGTAACAAGCTTTCAATTAAACAAAATAATAACAGAACTCTCGGGCGATCTTATAACAAGTTTGCAATGTAATCTAAGGATAACAAACTTCTTGGGCTGTGTTGTAACAGACTTTCAATGTTGAACCCCACGGTAATTAAGCTCTAGGGCTATGTTGTAACAGACTTTCAATGTTAAACTCCACGGTAATTAAGCTCTAGGGCTGTGTTGTAACAGACTTTCAATGTTAAACCCCACGGTAAATAAGCTCTCGGGCTGTGTTATAACAAACTTTCAATGTTAAACAAAACGGGAACTAAGCTCTAGGGCTGTGTTAAAACAAACTGTCAATGTTAAATTAAACGGTAACAAAGCTCTAGGGCTGTGTTAAAACAAACTTTCCATGTTAAACCAAACGGTAACAAAGCTCTAGGGCTGTGTTAAAACAAACATTCAATGTTAAACCAAACGGTAACAAAGCTCTAGGGCTGTGTTGTAACACACTTTCAATGTTAAACCAAATGGTAACAAAGCTCTAGGGCTGTGTTAAAACAAACTTTCAATGTTAAAACAAACGGTAACAAAGCTCTAGGGCTGTGTTAAAACAAACTGTCAATGTTAAACCAAACGGTAACAGAGCTCTAGGGCTGTGTTAAAACAAACTGTCAATGTTAAACCAAACGGTAACAAAGATCTTGGGCTGTGTTAAAACAAACTGTCAATGTAAAACCAAATGGTAACAAAGCTCTGGGGCTGTGTTAAAACAAACTGTCAATGTTAAACCAAACGGTAACAGAGCTCTAGGGCTGTGTTAAAACAAACTGTCAATGTTAAACCAAACGGTAACAAAGATCTAGGGCTGTGTTAAAACAAACTGTCAATGTTAAACCAAACGGTAACAGAGCTCTAGGGCTGTGTTAAAACAAACTGTCAATGTTAAACCAAACGGTAACAAAGCGCTAGGGCTGTGTTAAAACAAACTTTCAATGTTAAACAAAACGGTAACAAAGCTCTAGGGCTGTGTTAAAACAAATTGTCAATGTTAAACCAAACGGTAACAAAGCTCTAGGGCTGTGTTAAAACAAACTCTCAATGTTAAACCAAACGGTAACAAAGCTCTCGGATTGTGTTAAAACAAACTTTCAATGTTAAACCAAACGGTAACAAAGCTCTCGGGCTGTGTTAAAACAAATTTTTCAATGTTAAACCAAACGGTTACAAAGCTCTCGGGCTGTGTTATAATAAACGTTCAACGTAGACTCCATCGATTACAAAGCTCTCGCTCGGTGTTGTATATAATAAAATGACAATGAAAACGCAATTACAGCGAAACAGTATTGTACAGTTGTTACATGTATGCACAACTGACATCTTAAATTCAATGATCCGCGCAATTTGATTTCTGAAAAGAAAAGTCTGGAATCACCAACTTCATATTCACACCATAAGTGTTATAACAGAAGTGTTATAAAGACACAGTGTGGTGTGTATAACAAAGGCTATTGGCAATATTAACTTTCAAAATATAAATGCGCAGAAAGTGTGCTTTTTCGGGACTATCTGTTAATAACGAGATACGATTACTTTTGTTGTGGCGTCCTTAACATTAACACAAATAACAATATAAAGGCACTACTGTCACATTCATGCTTGATCAAACTTACAATGGTCAATTTGTTTCCTTTGACAACCTTTGTTGTTTCCACCACCACACCCTTTCCATCTCCGGGTTTGTAGGTTTCTACCCATATACCATTCTCTATGCGGTAACAGAACTGAAAGAAAGAAAGAAAGAAATATTGGTGAATACAGTAACTCGGAAGTTCAAAAGAATCACCTTTAGTCTGTATACACATGAAACCCTTGAAGTTATATCTGATTACCGCTAAATATAACCATATGTAGGCAACTGTTACATGTTTTGATTAATTAATAAGTGAAAATTGTCTATTATTACGAACTTCTGTTAAAGTTATGTTCGAACTAGCGTTAATGCTTTGGAACATTGACATGTGATGTCTGTCCTTGTAAACAACCATTCACTTTGATTTGATAATATTTCAGACAAAACTGGCCACATACCAAGCACGGTTTTCCGTCGACGCCAGTTATTGTCACTTCCTTGTCCTTTTGGATACCTGTGTAAGTCTTTAAAACATTTCCGCCGATGATTACGTTACAGGTAATGTTGTCCCCGTCCTGGACATACTCTAGAGTATCCCTGATTGTGCTGAATTGTTCCCTTACTTTATCGTCCAGCCCTGAAAAACAAAACAACAACAATAATATAGATTAGTGATGTATCAATTACCACTGGTTTGGGGTTCGTTTGAGTTTGCTTAGTTTAACATCTCCGAAACAGCTAATTAAGGTCATGACGGGTGTCTATGGAAACACAAAAGTGACAAAAAGTTACATGGTTTTATTACAAATGTTGCAATGGGGCAGCATATCAATGTGTGCAGCACTAAAACCTGATATTACATAAGAGAGAGATGCGTGGTATTTTTTTAGAGTGTATTTCCTCGTTAAGAATTCACTGTCCCTAAATTCAAAATGTTTTCAAAAGATTAAAAAGTACCGTTAACAAATATATTACTTGGAAACATCATTTCTGAAAATAAAACCTTAACTTGTGGACAATCTTTAAAATATAGATATAGGCAAGAAAAAAGAGCCAATAACAACATGTCTTTATGTGTAAAATGCAACAGGGCCTAGCCAGGATAACAACATTGGACAACCGATCATTATATACTGTCGATTCACACCAATCGGAAAACATAATTAAAGGGGGGTTATTGCATGTACGAAAGAATACACATGTCGTGGAGTTCTAACACAATACATAGCAACGACCATGGTTGTTAGCCGTAGTGTAAGCCGAGACCGAATCCTTGAACTTCGACACGTGTCTATACACCGCAAGAGGCCGAATATGTCGGTCGACTGGTATATTATGCGTAATCACTGAGTCTGAATAGTACGCATGCGCCTAATTTGTATTGAGTGATTGTTAGACAGACCGACAGAATATCGATTGTTTGTACCCAGGTCGAATGCATAGTCATACAGTCAATTAAATAATGTGATCTATTTGATAGGAATTCAGAAATGAAATGGCACCCTCCAAGTCTTGATTGTAACTACAAGTCGAAGCGGATCAAAAGGTGTTATTTTTTTAATTGCTATTAGATCAGATGGTTAAATAATATGCGAACATGAAAGGCTTTTACATTGTATGATACAACGGTTACGGGTATCTACTTACGAATATCAAAGTTTATGCACAAACAAAATCAAACTATTGTGTATACACGGGTGCATACGGTTGTATTATGTGTTACAAAATGCAACTACATGTATACACAATCACATGTACTCCAACCTTTGAATACATACATGTATGTACTCTATTAACTTAACGATGCTTTCTTCAAACTGTCCAATTCACAGTTGATGAAGCGTATTACACAGACTGTCTCGCTCTAATATGTATCTCATATGCAATAAACATGTACATGGCGTGCATGGGGGGTATTAACAATGTATCCACTGAATTAAGTAGACACCTGCGACATCGTCATAATGGGATGAGTTACTACACTGCATACATGTAGGCACGTCCTTAAAAGGCCCTAAATTACCATATGACCATTTTCATAGCCTATCCCAATTCAACCCAGGGCCACTAACACTAGTACTATTTAGTGTGTCAACACCTGCTACATTTATATCAGTATGTCTGTATTATTTACTACCGATTTAACTGTTTAAATATGCAAAACAACCCTGAACACGCGTACACACATATATATTTGTATATGCAATACAAACTTGGACATATGTGTTAATCATCTACATTGTACATGTATCTATATCACAGCACACAAATGATTTAATATATTTACTTTAATAACTAACCAACATTATGGGTTATTTACAAATATAATATTACCAATAGCAATATGGTATTCTTCAAACCCCTTGTTTTTGCCGTGCTCCTGATCCGTCTCCCATTTCCCTAAGATTGCTTTTTCCATTGTAAAGTCTGCGAAGTGGCGATTATCTCGACTGGACAAGTATAATGAAAATCCACCACGCGCTGTGTATTATATAATATGAATTTCTGTGCATGCGTCCGGGGTATGTACCGTGTATACCTCCGTTGCTAGTTTGAGAGATTTAATTTGTCAAAACCAAGATAAATAGAATCTTTTACCCCATTGGGGATGAGATAGGAGAATCTCAACCCGAGGGGGAAGATTCTTAAGTTGCCAAACACGAGGCTTTGCCGAGTGTTTGGCAACTTAAGAATCTTTCCTCGAGGGTTGAGATTCCATTATCTCATCCACAAGGGGGTGATTTTTTTCTTTTTCTCTTACCCTGTTCTCCCATTGTGATGTCGTGCCATTGTGTTATGAATAGGGGAATCCCCCCGTCTCAACCCTAGGGTGGAACAAGGAAATCTCACACCGGTAAAAATGCGGATACACCTGTCCAGGGTAAGAGAAAAGACCATTCCGATCATGCATATTGGATGTTACGAGTCAGATGCATAGTCTCCATGTCTAATAATGTTAGGAAAGTCAGGTGCATGGTCAAGTTAAGTTAAGTATAGTAAAATTATTTGTAAGTCTGTTAAACAGTCTCTATTTGTTTAGCTCACCTGCCCGTGGGGCAAGTGAACTTACAATGTATGTCATGGCGCGGCGTCCGTCGTCAGTCCGTCGTTCGTCACTTTTTCCTACAAGTCGCTACTAGTCATAAACGACTGAACAAATTTCGACCAATTTATGACTAGTAGCGATTTGTAGGAAAAGTTGACTGAAATTTGGTCAAAAGCATCCTTATAGGGAAAGGGAACCAAATTTATAAATGGTGGGTCTGGCCCCCCTAGGAACTGAGGGGCGGGCCCCAATAGGGGAAGTATAGCGAATTCTTTAAAATTTTCTTATTCTGTAAGAATGATAGGATTAGTTCCATATCTTGTCTGAAGCATTCCTGGGTGAAGGGAAACCAATTTTGTATAAACCGTGGGTCTGGCCCCCAAGGGGCCTGAGGGGCGGGGCCCAATAGGGAACGCATAGTTAAATCTTTAACAGTCTTCTTCTTCTATAGGTATGAAAGGATTTGTTCCATATTTGGTCTGAAGCATCATTGGGTGAAGGGGAACCAATTTTGTATAAACCATGGGTCTGGCCCCCAGGGGCCAGAGGGGCGGGGCCCAATAGGGAACACATAGTAAATTCTTTAAAATCCTCCTTTTCTGTAGGTATGAAAAGACTTGTTCAATATTTGGTCAAAAGCATCATTGGCTGCAGAGGAACCCATTTTGTATAAACCGTGGGTCTGGCCCCCAAGGGGCCTGAGGGGCGGGGCCCAATAGGGAACGCATAGTTAAATCTTTAACAGTCTTCTTCTTCTATAGGTATGAAAGGATTTGTTCCATATTTGGTCTGAAGCATCATTGGGTGAAGGGGAACCAATTTTGTATAAACCATGGGTCTGGCCCCCAGGGGCCAGAGGGGCGGGGCCCAATAGGGAACACATAGTAAATTCTTTAAAATCCTCCTTTTCTGTAGGTATGAAAAGACTTGTTCCATATTTGGTCAAAAGCATCATTGGCTGCAGAGGAACCCATTTTGTATAAACCGTGGGTCTGGTCCCCGAGGGGCCTGAGGGGAAGGGCCCAATAAACAAATAGTAAATTCTCTAAAATCCTTCTTCTTTTGTAGAAATGAAAGGATTTGTTCCATAACTGGTCTGAAGCATCCTTTGGTAAAGAGTAACCAATTTTGTTAAAACCGTTGGTCTGGCCCCTGAGGGGCCTGAGATGCCGGACCCAATATAGGAAACATAGCAAATTCTTTAAACTCGTTCTTATTCTGTAGGAATGAAAGGATTTGTCCCATATTCGGTCTGAAGCATCCTTTGGTGAAGGGGAGCTATTTTGTATAAACCGTGGATCTGGCCCCCAGGGGCCTAAGTGGAAGGGCCAAAAGGGGGCAACTCGGCTAAAATGATTTAAGCGACTTCTTCTCTAGAACGTTGGAAGCAGCCCTCAGTAGTGGAGATTCAAATTTGTACAAATAGTTGAGCTAACCCCAGGGGGCTGAGGGGAAGGGGCCAAAAGGGGGCGATTTGGCTATATTGCTATAAACGACTTCTGTAGAAGTACGCCATGGATATCGATCATATTTGGTCAGAAGCATTCATGGGAGGCAGCGATTCAAAATTGTTCAAATGGTGGACTGCCCCCCCCCCTCCCGTGCTAAGGGGTGGGGCCAAACAAAGGCCCCACCCTTTGAGACATAGTTTCTGGGTCATAACTTTGAAATGGTTGATATCCCCACCCCAGAACTATATATACTAATGCTTGTCATAAAGAGACAAAAGTAGTCATGGTATTAGAATAGTCCCTGGGGTCTGACCGAAC